GACCACCTGCAGGAAGCAGTCAGTTTGTCTGTGTGTGAATCTGGAAGGAACCCCAATGAGAAGATATTCTCTATCGTTGTCAAACAGTAACATTTTTAAAATAAGCGCAAATTTTACATTCTACCCCAAATTATGTTAATATTCGCTTTAAAAAAACAAAAATGTTAAAAATTATACATATGATAAGGGGTGAGTATTCCAAAATTTAAAAAGAACTTATACAACTCAACACCAAAAATACCCCCACACAATTCAGTTTAAAAGTGGGCAAAGGATGCATAATCCATGGACACAGACAATAGGGTAGCGAAGGCCTGGAGTGGGTGCAGCGGTGGCTAGAAGGGGTCAATGAGGGGAAAAAGGGGGACATTGTTGTAATACTTTCAACAATAGAGATTAAAAGAGAAAAAAAGATGGGCAAAGGTCCTGAATAGTTGCTTCTCTAATGAGGACATAACAAGTGGCCAATAGATATATGAAAAAAATGCTCAATATCACTAATCATCAGAGAGATGCAAATTAAAACTACAATGAGATATCTCTTCACACCTATCAGAATGGCAATCATCAATAAATCAACAAATAACAAGTGTTGGTGAGGATGTGGAGAAATGGGACACCTGGTGCACTGTTGGTGGGAATGCAGACTGGCATTAGGGCTGAAAAGAGTCTCATACTACAAACATAATTTTATTGATTTTGTTAAAATGAACTCTTAAGCCACTGTGAAAAGCAGTATGGAGCTCGCTCAAAAAATTAAAAATGGAAATGCCTCAGAACCCAGTGATTCTACTTCTGGGAATATATTCAAAGAAACCCGAAACACTGATTCAAAAAATATATGCACCCCTATGCTCATCGCAGCATTACTTATAAATAGCCAAGATTTGGAAGTAGCCCAAGTGCCCATCAGTAGATGAGTGAATAAAAAAGCTGTGGTACATTTACACAATGGAATACTACTTGGGTATAAAAAGGAAGAAAAAGGAAGGAAATCTTAACTTTTGTGACAGCATGGAGGGACCTGCAGAGTATTATGCTAAGTGAAATAAGACAGTCAGAGAAAGGCAGGTACCATATGATTTCACTTATATGTGGAATCTAATGAACAGAATAAAGTAACTAACAAAATAGAAACAAAGATATAAAGAACAGACTGATGCTGTCAGAGTGGAGGGGTATTGGGGGGGCTAGCTGAAAAAGGTGAAGGGATTAAGCAAAAAAACCCCAAAAAACCAACGTCATAGATACAGACAACAGTATAGTGATTACCAGAGGGGAAAAACGGTGGGGGGAGTAGAAGAGGGTTAAGGGGGCATAAATAGTGATAGGAGACTTGTCTTGGGTGGTGAACACACAGTCTATATTATAAAAGGCCTGTGGCCCTAATTCTGTAACGACCAAAGACCCGCGCAGGTGGGCGGAGCTGTGAGCACAGTGAGGCACGTGAGGGGGGGGAGGGCGGAGCCACGTGATTTCATGATTTTGCTCACTGGGCTTCTACTCCTACATAATAAAACCCTAATATGCAAATTGACTGAACGGCAGAATGACTGGTCTCTATGACGTGCACTGGCCACCAGGGGGCAGATGCTCATTGAAGGAGCTGCCCCTGGTGGTCAGTGCACTCCCACAGGGGAGCGCCACTCAGCCAGAAGCCGGCTCACAGCTGGCGAGCGCAGCAGTGGTGGCGGGAGCCTCTCCTGCCACTGAGGCAGCACTAAGGACCCTTTGAGGGATGTCCTACTGCTGGCTTGGGCCTGGCAATTGGACATCTCCCAAGGGGTCCTGGACTGCAAGAAGGTGCAGGCCAGGCTGAGGGATGCCCCCCACCAGTGCACAAATGTTGTGCACTGGGCCTCTAGTACAATATACAGATGATGTAGTATAGCATTGTACACCAGAAACCTAAAATAAAACATAATTTTATTAACCAATGTCACCCCAAGAAATTTAATTTAAAAATAAAAAATAAATAAAAGTATTTACTGTTAATTAAAATGAACTCTTAAGGAAGATGCACCATGTTTATTATAGCCTTTAAACACTCCTGGGATATTGACAAGTACCCTTCAAGCATTACCACAGTTTTAAAAACACAGGGTCCTAGATCATTGCAGCCCAGGCCATGGGATTTTTGTTAGAATTTAAGAGAATTTCTCCACATGTCCCCTTTCTACTTTGCTACATGTAAACTCTTGAAGTCCTTTTGCTTAGTTCACTAGTGAGATTGTAAAAATGTATTTTCTAAACACCTAATTGGCAGCATGTCCACAGTTCAGATGATGGAGAGACATACACTCAGCTTCCTCAAACAGAAAATCTCAGTCCGAGGTGAGAATTACCTCTCCACTTCCTCTTTAGATCTGGTTAACACAGGAAACCAAACTGAGAAGTTCTAAAACTTAATCCTTTGTTTTGAGCATTTAGAAAGTATGATCAAACAGCAAGCTGATCATGCTCAGATAGGAGTACAAGAAGTGACTTATTTATACATTCAAATTTCAAAACATTTCTGAGGCCTACCATGTGTGCTGTTAAAAGGTTTTTAATTTTAAATGATTTTTGTTAGATAATCTGTTTAAAGTGACATTATGATTTATCGCCACTAATCAAGATTCTGATCCCTCGTAGACTTCTTGTTTGTATCTGTTTTTGTTCTTTGTTACATAAATATGAGGTTTATACATAAAATTCTGACTGTGTAATATAGGGCTAATGAGTCACAGATGGAAAGATGCTGGCACATTACCATCTAATAACATTTTAAACTCATATTCCGTAGTAAAACAAAAGCAAATTGTACACATCTGTTTTCCAACTTGTAGCATTTCTGAATTTGTGTAGAGCCCATGCTTAAAGGACTTTTACTCAGGGAGAAGAAAAAAGAGGATACAGGTCACCTTGAAACTACCCAGCCACTTAATCGCCTTATCGGAAAGGATTTGGCAAAGGGGTCCGACTTCCTCTGCTTTGCTTCCTGAGGAGCCCCAGCTCTAAAGAATGAGAATCGAAGGCATTAGGGCTGAAAAGAAAGTCTCATGCTACAAGCATCGTTTTATTGATTTTGTTAAAAAGTAAAATATATCCCCAGTAAGGGGAAAATAAAGGAGACAATGTACGCAAACTAGTAAAATTGAAAAACTAGAAATTTTCTGGCCTTTCCTAAAAATATTCTCAAAATAGATTTGGGTGGGAAGAGGAGAAGGACAGTGAGGAGGAGGGAACGCAGGAAGGCAGCGCGGATCGCCGTGGTGGTGGTTTATTTTGTTTGTACGGTGAACATGTTCTGCGTGAAAAAAAATGGAGCAGAAGGCTCCCATATCACGTGTTGTTGCAAAAGATGTAGAACAAAGGCAGGATTCCTCTCTCAGACCCACCCAATCGGTACCGCCTGTAGGGCCGCGTGAGGACAGTTAGTGAAGTACAGGACTCTAGCGCAGTCTCCCCCGTGCTCCTGGGTTAAGGAATTCAAAACCACTTTTCTGCTTCAAGGGGTTGTGTGAACTGTCAAGTTCTTTGGGAAAAGGTACGTGACAGAAGTAATTACTACGGAGTGTGACCATAACTCCCCCTGACATGAAATGCCCATGTTATAAGAGACAGATTTCCATCTACCTCCTCTGCAGGAATTCCTGAAACAGGAAAGACCTGAGAATCATCAGATGATTCGGGAGGGGAATTCTGATATGTGGGTGGTAAGACTGTGTTTTGTGAGGCGTACTGCATTTATTCTGAGGAATACTTCTGATCCGACTGCAAAATTCTGTTCATGGCTGTCCAAAAAGGAATTAATGCACATATTGTATGTACTGTGTTGTAGATTCAACAGAATACCCATAGAGGGAAATTAAAGTGTTGTTTTCATAACAGTGTCTGTAGTTATCTCCAGTTTGTACTAACATTTTGTACCTAAGATTCCAGACATGTTGAGAGTGTATCCTGCGATGTATTGTACCTGCCGCAAGGAGCAGTTACATGGGCTCTCAATCTGGCATTCCCTTTAAGGAATGGCTCACTTGGGAGCTTCATGTGTCTGATATAGTTTATGGCAGGTCAAGCAAGGCAAGACTTAGAGCTGGGACAGGGTGATTTTTAGGTACATGCTTGTTTTGTTTGTCCACCAGTGAAATGTCTGTGTGACGTTTTGTGTCGTGTTTTGGTGCTGTGCCCTGTCCGTAGGGTCTGCCAGGCTTCCCCACAGTCGCTGCCCTGCACAGTAATCAGATCCTCACCGTCAAGGTTTGTGGTTGGCACCCATGCCCGCCGTCAGAGCCCGCAATCAGCATAAGGGTGAGCAAGAACAGCTAAACTGGCCTGCCGAGTCCTGCCGCTCCCTCTCATCAAGCGTACCAGCTTCTTGGGTTCTTGGACCTCATGTGCATCAATGGGGTCAAATATATATGAAGGAGACTCTCAAGCATATGAGAGAGTTAAGATACTGAAGTCGAGCAAGGACAGTGGGCAGAGGCAGGCACGACTCTGGACGGTGCCGGGCCTGGAGGGGCGAGTGAGTATGCTTTGCAAAGCTCTCAGTATGTCCCCATCAATTGAGTCACCCTAAGGGCTCTGGACTTCGGCATCAACAAAATGGCAGTCGCGTTCATGCCACATTGTGCTGGTTGACCAGTCTGACGGAAATGAACTGGCGCTTTGTCTGCGGACTTTCTGCTCAGAGTGCAGAGTGCAGGTGGCTCGAGCTTACCTGCCCCTTTAGTATACCGCCTTAGAAAGGCCCAACCCCACGGCAAAACGATGGGATTCCAAAAAAGGTCCACCTCTAACTACAAATCTGGTCTCACCATCCTGGTTCAGGGTTACATTTCTTGCACCCAGAGCCCGAGGGTCTGATGTCAGACACAAGTGCCAGTTCTGTTTTATGTAATGGTCATTATAACTCTAATGCATATATCTTTATTTCTTTCTTGGGGCCTTCTGATGTCTATTCTTCAACTCTCTCACCTCTGAACTTCAACCTTTGACCTCACCTGACTGATCAGATGGTGTTTCCTAAAATCAATCATGGGTTTCTCTCTGCTGATCAGCAGCTCATTAAACGCCGCTTGATTAAGGTAGTGCTTATTCTTGCTCAAGTCTGATTTCTTCTTTGCATTCAGTTATTACTCTGTATACTGTTGCTTTATCATGTATCTCCCTTGGGTGAGGGTGGGGGTGGGGGTGGAAGGGTATTTATTTGGCAATATCTTAGAACAAAATTATGTTTAGTGAGCTGCATTTGTTTGGAATGTAGATGAAAGTACCAAAATAAAAGGTATAGAGAGCCTGTCTAAATTTTTTAATTAAGAAAAAAGTCTTTTATTTTTAATTAATTTATATCCAGTAATAGACCCAGTTTCTAAGGTCTCTAGCTTTGGTAATGTATAAATTGTTATAAAGCATGACAAGAGGCTTGTATGCTTAATTTTATAGGTTATGAAAAGGTAAACATTGTCCAATTTCAAATGCAGCCACTTTATTAAGGTGGATATAGCATTGTCATGAATAAAGTTATGCAACGGCTTTATACCAGCTCTGAATCGAGGGATAAGAGACACAGCATTTCCAAGAGCTGAGAGTGCTGGTTCCTGAGCTGCTTGGTTTTAATAGCTCCACTCAGCTCCGCAGCATGAATATTTATTTGATCCCTGCTGGCAGGCAAATCGCCTACAGGCTTCATGCTTCTGCTTGCTCTGGTTCTTTCATGGTGTAAATGTGAATTAGATAATGCAAATTTAAAGTGTTGAAAAGAAGACCTAGGTCTTTATCCTCCGTGGTCATGGTTGGTCTGTCCCCCTCTCCATTGTAGGGTGACCAAGGACAAGCTGGGCCCCCAGGCCCACCTGGCCCTCCAGGCCCAAGAGGGCCTCCTGGGGACACCGGGAAAGATGGCCCCCGAGGAATGCCAGGAGAGCCCGTGAGTTGCTTTTTGGGTCCCTTGTTCTCACAGGTTTGGTTTTGCGTTAAGGGCTGAGAATTGGGATAGAGTGGGGTTGGGAGGGATTAGAGAGAGTGGAGTGGGTTGAGGGATGGTGGAAGCTAGGAAAGCCCCCAAGCAGGGCACTGCCAGCCAGGTTTCTGCTTTACCACTCAATCCCCGGGAACCATGCAACCACAAGGACCTGGGGAGACAGCTAAGCTGGTGTTCAGGTAAGGCTCCGGAGTCTGATTGGAGAACCTGATGTCACTCGTGTCCTGACTCCACAGAGTTCCTCAGTGCCTTTGGTTTAACAGGGAGACTAGCTTGAAACAGTAGGTGGGGGATTAATAACATTTTCCAAAAACCGATAGCAGAGACAATCAGGTCCCATATGATTTATGGAGAGTAAAGAATTTAAATGTTTCTAATATTTAATCTCATAAATAACTTAACCAAAAGAATTGATAAAACAGTAAAATTAATGGTTAAAACATCAGTGGGTCTGGTTTGAATATTATTTGTCCTTTGTATATGAAGCTTATTAATAGAAATGATTTAAAAGTGAGCTGTTACTCCAATAAATTTATTTTAAAAAAATAAAAGTGATCTCAACACTTAGACCTAAGTACTAACTACTTAGTGTCAAGTGTCAATATATAGCAGCACAGGACACTAGATAAATGGTTTGCTTTGATAGCGACAACCCAGCAATTTAAATAAATATGTGGAAAAGGGCAAACAAATTTTACACTTATATTATGGGGTTAGAATTTGAAATTCAGGTTTATTGATGAATTAAATTGTTTAATGTATTGCTTTAACTTTTAAAAAATATATGTATTTTTATTGATTTCAGAGAGGAAGGGAGAGAGAGTGAGAGAGAGAGAGAGAAACATCAATGATGAGAGCGAATCATTGTTTAGCTGCCTCTTGCTGGGGATGGAACCCACAACTGGGCATGTGCCCTGACCAAGAATCAAACCATGATCTCTTGGTTCCTAGGCCAATACTCAACCACTAAGCCATACTAATTGAGCAAGTGTATTACTTTAACTTTAGTAACTATATTCATTCGTGTTTACATAGTACAAAAGTAATACAGAAACTATCCATAATGTAGAAAATTTTGAAAATAAAGACAACCAAAAAAAAAAAAATCATCCATGCTCATTGTTTTGGTATATTTTATTTTTATATTCATATATTATGGCTTTTTTTTGTCTTTCAAAGAACAATTCTGTTTGTAAGAATATAGGGTACTTTAAAACTTTTCTGAGACAACCTTCTGTAAGCCTACTTCCCTTTCTGAAAGCTGCTGTTAATTTGTCATATGAAATGAGGAATTAATTTGTAACATATGATTTAGGATTGCTTTAACTGAATCATCAGAGAGAGTAGCTTCATCCTAAACTGTCTAATGTTTCCCCTTTTCTTGGGTTGATATCTCAAAAGATAGAAAAAGCTGTAGCTTTAGGGATATTTAGAGCTCTCCAATTGATTGCTGGTTTCCAACAAGATACAGTGTCTTCTCAAGTAAGAAGTATAGTTAAGACCCTTTTGATGGGACTGAATTAGTCAGATCATTGGGTATTATATACTGTACAGAAAATTTAAAGCATAAATTACTTTCAAGTAACAAGATAAATTAATGTATGACATTTTGTAAACCATCCAAATATTATGTCAGTCTTTAAGTGAATATAGTTTATTCATCTAAATAAGAAATGGAACTTTTAATACAAAGGTATAATTATTTTTAATTCCACAAATATAATTTGAACTGGATTTATAATCTCAGACTTGATTTTTATATACTCTCTTAACCATTGGAAAAAGATTTTATAAAAATAAACTGAGAACTACTTACTTTTAAAGTCCAACAACATCTATATGTACTGGCATTACAATCAAGTTTTTCAAAAAACATGACTGTCATTATAATAATATAATAAAACATGATATAATATAATATAATAAAACATGTATGAATCTGAGTATTAGAAAATTATGACAGTGGTGTAATATGGCAGACAATTTTATTTTAATATATGCTGCAAATTTAATAAAGCATGTTATTTCAGCCATCATTAATCCAGGATAATTAAAATTTAAAATCAATCTCTGCTCCTGTTCTTATTTAACTCCTGCACTAAGAGCAGTTGTCTCTGTGTTGAATATGTGGGAGTTCTGAATTCTCACAAAGAGGACCATGTCATCATCTTATGTCCTTATAAACAGGAAATAATAATTAATAATATATTACTGTAATTGCAATTAAATAAATGAGATATGGCTGTGATTACAATTAAATCTTTTTCTAGGACTACTTAATGACATATCACTCCTACTAATTTTATTTAGAATATATTCTTGGCATAATCTTAATCTCTATCATAATCTAGACTCACTTTATTAAATCCTAAAATGTTTATAGAATGCATTTGAAGAAAGAATGTTAGCTTTCTTTCCATTGCACTGGGTTTGCATTTCTCTAGCTTGAAAAGTATATTTGACATTCATGCACCCCAGTGGGTACTGTAAAAAGGGAAAAATATATATTGAACTTGTTTTTTTTAATATTTATAGCACTAATAAAATTATCACTATTCTTTTTTAAGGGTGAACCAGGGAACCCAGGAAAACAAGGCTCAATGGCAAGTATTTCAATTTATCTTTTACTTTAAATTCTATATATTTTCATAAAATTTCTATAAAAAGTAATGGAAGTCTTTTCAAAACTGTTGTCAATATTGTGTGTAACAAATATATCTGTCATGTAACCTATAACAAAAAGAGTGAAAATTAGTACAAGTTAAAAACTAATATGGCCTTTTGCATGGTAAGCATCACAAGACAATACATGCACAGAACTGACAGAAGAGGAAGAGGAAGGGTCCAGGTGGGAGGAGTGGAAGAGACACTTCGGAAGGGCAAAGGGGAGAATTTGTTTTAAGCAGCTCTGCTATAAGGGAGATTACATGTAGGGATATAACTATTAGCTTAAATAAAGTGGGTTTTGAAAGGGATCGGGTGAGACTAAGTGTGAAGTAGTATAGGCAACACTTCATAGTGACTCAAGGAGTTCTTTGTTGAAGGGCTTCACCCAGAGAGAAGCCGTTGTGTCTCTTGATCCCGGTCATTAACAAAGATCCTGAAATGATTCCACATGGAGTCGCCCGTAGACACGCAGGGTCAGTTCCTCAGGATTGCTTATCCTTTGCCAGTGGGAGAAGTTTGGGCAGCTTGCTGAGCCCACCTCTCCCTGTCTCTCTCCCCTGTCCCTGGAGCCATCTTTCTGACCAGTTTTATGACATGAGCCGTATGGGGGAATACAGGTTGACAATCTAACAACCCACGTTCCACAGGACAGCTGTGTCTCACTGCATTGACCTGGTCGCAGTGATCACAGTGAGCTCAATCCTGCTCATTCTGTGGAATGTGTGACGTGCAGCACGCAGGTGTTCAGGGCACAAAATTTATTTGTAAAAAAATAGTAGCTAAGTGCTAGTAAAACCGATGCACAGACCCAGGACAGTCAGTCAAGAATTAAAACAAATGTGTGAAGAGGTTAAAGGTCAAAATCTTATCCCTGAACAGGATGCTTTCAACAGCCCTCGTGGGAAGAAACTCGCTAAAGTGTGGTCATTCCTAGCAATAGTGTAGCTGCCTTTGAAACATCACTGGTGAAATGAAAGCCCCCTGGGGCTGAAACTGACCCTTCACCTGGAAATTCTCTGTTCCTGACCTATGATATTAAGATCGGTATTTGATACAGATAATGTGTGTTGGGGCGGGGGGAGGTGGATACTATATTGGATTCTTTTTAAAGAGAATAAAATGGAACAACAACAGAAGACCATATATAAAAATTAAGCAAAACATTTGTCATCTGTGATAACTTTGCATACCAGAGCAACATTAGCTGCCAGGGTTATAGAGTCACAGGAGGTGAAGGATTCTTGGAAAACTACAATATAAATTTTGAAATTGCTTTAGGCAATTGAATGCACCTGTGGTTTCTATCCTGGATAATGGTCAAAACATATTCCTCCCAGACCTTCTTGCATTGAAGGCTCCTTGGGACTCTTGGGAGCCTTGTTTGTTCCCAGGTGTGCACATCTTACTTAGATTTTTATCATTACCTTTGGCTTCCTACACCGATGTCCAGCGCAGTATCCTGATATACAAAGTTCTAAAAGAAAAATTATTGACATTCAAAAAAATTACAATCTTATCCTCCTTAAAGTCATATATTCTCTCTAGATTATACTAAGTGAATAACAATGGAATCTCATTTCCCTACAATTCCTAGCTTAATATTATTAAATATACATGTGGCACCTAAAATTATCTTAGTGTGCTGCAATTTCCCATTTCTTATAGCACCTTTTGAGATGAAGATAATCCTGGGTTTTTTAAAAAATATTTTTAATTGATTTCAGAGAGGAAAGGAGAGGGAGAGAGATAGAAACTTCAATGATGAGAGAATCATTGATCGGCTGCCTCCTGCACACACCACACTGGGGAGCTAGTCTGAAATCCAGGCATGTTCCCTGATTGGGAATCAAACCACAATGTCCTGGTTCATAGGTTGATGCACAATCACTGAGCCATGCCGGATGGGCATGGGTTTTTTTCTATAAGCTATTTTTCTGTTTTTAAACTCTTCAGATTTAATTCATATCCTCATTTTTAAAATGCAGCTAAGAAACTTAATTAAATCACAAATGTTTAAAGGATGTGTGATGTAATGATCTTCTAAAGTGCATTATACTGTTTTTCAAGATATAAATTTTTTCTTTTAACCAAAAACTTCTATACCAAGCATGTCAAACTCAAAGGCTAACACGGGCCAAATAAACAGGGTTTAAGTTATTAGTGAACATTGTAGTTCTTTATTAATAATTATGTATAACAGGATATTGTAAAAATTAAGTTATGAAATTTTTATTAAAATGCTTCTTACATACCACTATATTGGCTGGGCCGCAAAAATATTTATTGAGGGTTGCATGCATCCTGCAGGTCGTGAGTTTGACATGCTTGTTCTACACGTAAGGAAAAGTAGACAAATCTGAAGCCTAGATCTCAGTGAATTTTCACAGTGAACATAACTATACAATCAAAAATCAGGTCAAGAAATAGAATGTTATCCCCCCTTACACTCCAGTTGCCACCCCTTCTTCCCAAATTTTACCACTATTCTGCCTTCTGCCACCATACATTAGTTTTGCCTGCATTTGAATTTACATTACTAGAAGCATACTGTATGTGCACTTCTGTGTCTGGCTTCTTTCGTTCAACATTATATTTGTGAGATCATCCACCTCTGTTTTAATAGCCTTCACATCTGGTTAAAAAAAAAATAGGAGGAAGAACCTCACTTCCTTGACTACCCCGTTAAAAGTGCATCACTCAAAGAGCAGTAAATGAGTGAATGAATAGCCTGTCTGACCTTGGGCAAATCACTTAACCTCTCAATTTCTCATCTGTAAAGAAAGGATTATAATACCCTGTCTGCCTTCCTTTTAAGGTTGCCAAAGACAAATGCAATAAATTAGAGGAAAGTGCTTTAAACTGCATAATGAAGAATATATGAGTATGTTATTATTATTATCACTCAGTTGTTCCCTCTAGAGTAAATTACAGGTGAGCGTGGATTTATATAACAGATGCATTCCTGTAAAGTTCTGTATGAATCAGATTTTCATAAATCAACATATCTTATATGTGCTGAGGAATTTTGCTATATAAAACAATCCTATTCGGAATTTTTTTTTGTAAAGTAATATATAATCTCTTAATTCTTCTTCCTAGCAAACTGAATTTTTATATCTTATATTTGCTTAACTTGAAATATTTATGATTTTAAAATCTATCATTTTTTAAAACCACTATTTATGTTTGTTAAGTTAAATAGCACCTGTGTATATTAAACACTCTCAAAAAAGAGGAGAAGTACTAAAAATATAATAGCAGTTTTCATGAGGAGAAAAATTTCCTTAGAAAGTTTCTCTCTTCTTTTAAATAGTGGTGTGTGTATGTTTTGACTCAAAGTCTGGTAAGCAAAAAGGTACATTGCAACCGCAGTTCTGGCTTCAAAATCACTTAGGAGTGTATGACTGTAGTCTGTGATCCTTTTTACGGACCTATAACATGTGGACAAATTCCCATTTTACCTATCTCAGTGGGTTATGGCGAGAAGTAAGTAAAATAATAATAATAATATGAAAAGGATTTATGGCTACAAAGATGCCATAAATGAGAAGTATTACAGTTAAAAGTCCAGTGATACAACTTGGCACACAGGAAGGCCACCCTATGAAATGTAAGGGCTAAGGACAATGTGGTTATAGTCATCAGTGAAATCACAGTGTGTCAGATACTGCGATGATAATGCAACTTCCTCCTTTTGTCCTGTTTGTTGTCATTGTTTTTGGCCTTCTCCCATGTATCACATCATCTTACATTACCAACTTTCCACAACACTGCCCAGCTCATCCTTTAGCTAAAGTAAGGAAAGACAACAAATACAACTGTTCTCAGCTTTTCACACAACCCAGTACATTTCTTGGTGTGTGTTGTGCAGGGCGTGTTTGCTTAAATGAGAGTTTTGAGAAGCACAGGAGAATTGTTAAAATTTTTAAATGTCCCTGATGATGCAATGAAAAAGCTAGGAACAATCTAAAATTAGCTCTTACAAAACTGTTTATGAGTGTGTCAGGTGGGGAATTTGTTTTCCTGATCCAAGATATATATTTTATATTACAAAAATAATCATCTGAAGATTAACAGCTTCTCTGGTAGAATGAAGAAGACCTGCTGCTCAGGCGGCTCCACATTTATTTAATCCTGCTGTGCATCTATTCTGTAAACATGACCTTTGGGTTTTCCGAGAAGTTCAGGATGAGATTTTAAAAGACAGAATCTTGAGCTAAAATAAGTTGGACTACATCTGAATAAAGAGAAAACTGCTCTAGCTCATAAGACTATACCCGAGCATCAAAGAAAGGACTGACCACAATTACAAGTGCTCAAGTTCTGGACCCTCACGGGAGTGGCCTTTATTTTTCAGTTCTTCAGAAGTTTCAGTGGTTGTTAAAATAGTACTTTTTAAGGTATCTTCCTTTTGGTATTCTCACTGTTTCTTTTGACAAATGTAGTAGAAGTTCTCAAAAGCATAAAAGGTGGATGGTACACACACACACACACACACACACACACACACACACACACACACCCCAACTGGTCCCAGTTTCCTGGGAATTGTTTTTTTTTATCCAAAGTGTCTATAGCCAAGGTTTTATAGGCCAAATTATTTTCCCTACTCTGAAACTCTTTCTTCATTTCTCTCCCTCACCCCAAATATATGCAAACTCCATAGCATATCCATTCATCTCTTTTTGAATTATACTAGTAAGAGTACTTAAAATGTCATTCGTTGGGCCCTGATGTCTCAGCGTTCAAAATCCAGAAAATTTTTGCTGTATTGTCCCTTAAAGTGAAATTTGGGCTGTTTCAGGTATTTTCATTTATTTCAATTTTGCCTGTAAACACATTTAATACATTTGGGTCAAGTGAATACATACAATGTTTTTGAATTAGTAAATAACATAAGCATAAATAATTGCTTCTGCTTCATTTGAAATAAAA